CCCAACGGCACCTGCAAGACAGGGCCGCAAATTCTGCTGCTGGTCTGCCAACTTGGTACATAGACACGCAGGGCGTCATGTTTTCTGGTCGACTACAGCGAAACCCATCAGTGATACGCTTCAATCCGCTTCAACGTCATTGGAAACCGCTTGCGTGGCTTGAACCTTGCAGTAACTCAAAAAAGACAACGACTTATGGAAGGTGCAATGTTGAGCTAGATGCGGTCTTGCTCCACATGTACAGCATTGCATGTCAAGGAACCTTGGAACTTTTGTCGATGGAGTACTGACTGCCACAAGCTTACATCCACTGGATCTCTTGTCACTAACCTTGCGGAGTTGGCCAATACACCGATCGACCTCATGCGCGAAACAACCACGCAACCTTGTGGACAAGAACGGCTGCGGCCGCATGCGAACGTGCACAATTTCAATGACGCCGCTCAACATTCTTGGTAGCATTTTTGATGCGTGGCTTGCCCTGTACGGTGCTGACGATTTGCCACTACTCTCTCAATCAAACCGTGTTTGGATGATGCACTAAGCATCAACCAGAAAATCTGCGATCAAGCTAAACACAGATCAAACAGTTCAGAAAATCACAACTCATAACATGGAACACTATGTGATAACCGAACTTCGGGTGCATCTCTAGCTACCTCTGTTCAAAACCCCCCCCCACCACCACCCATTCTGAAAAGACTCTTGAGCATTTAGAGCCCATGCTGAAGACCACAAATCAGACCGAAAACCGTTCTTTGACTGGCAGGTCGCAAACCTTTCATATTGTCGCATGTGGCATTAACCTGCTGCTGACGAGGGATCCTATTTCCCAACTGATGACAGATCCCATGAACTTCTCGTCATGCCCGCACGTGTTGTTTTGACCTTCTGTGCTCTGGCGTGTGCCAGACCAGGTTCCCGAAGAAAGCACAACCTGGCGCAAAAGTGCAAAACCGACAAAACTGCAATTTGCACCTAACACCCACAATAGTAACAAGAGTAGCAGCAACTGCAACCGCAACAGGCACAACAACAACACCAGCAACAGCAGCAGCAGCAACAACAACAACAACTAGTCTAATTGGTCATGGCCTGGTCGGCAAGGGGTTACTCCGCTCTCAGCCTCAACGTGGGACCCCCTTGACCTTAAGCCGCACAGTTTCACTGAGGCAATCACGAGCTGAGCGTGGGGATCGCGCGCCGCGCCCGCCCCGCGCTCCTCTTAACTTAAACAGTATTGAGGTTGTTGTTCCACTTCAGCTTTTGGAGGGCTAGTCTGGGTTGAGGGGGTTTATATAGAGTCTAGGGCGTTGCATTTGGCGTGTAGGGGCTTGGCACGTTGGGTTCCAATTTTCGGATTTCGAGTAGCAGAGCTGACAGGTTTATCCTCGGGTGCCGCACTTGCCGGGTACTTGGGAAACTCAAGCTCGGCCTTTTGAGACTCGACCACTACCGTCGGGATTCAAGTTTACAGTATCAGGACTACAGGTCTGCTTCATCCGAGCCCGGTTGCCCGGAGCACGGGCAAATCCCAAAGCCACAAAGAAACCAACAAGCAGGTCCTAATGATGGAAGCAAGTCTTCGCTAAACTGATGTTCTTGCTAGTGCGATGGCTATTCTTAAACCCTCAGCAGCCCTACCTCAACCCCTAACCTGATCTGAGACGTTGCGTCTCAAGGCAAGCTGCGAAAAGTCAAAGGAAAAACAGTCAATCGAGGGCGCTACTTCAACCCCCTGCGTCCTTTCGCACGTGGCCTGGCGGCAGCGCGATGCACGCGGCTGGTTATGCCGGATGCTGGGTTGGAGATCTCCTCGTGAGGCATCTTGAGGATGCGAAGAGAAATCATCAAAACAAGATCTCAGCCAGTGACAAACATGAGTGACCTTTAAAAAGGCGCGCACGAAAGCCGAGGCCGACGCCCAGTGCTGCCACCACCAATCGTCGCCTTGGAAATCATCGGCCTGGAATACTATAGTTATGATAGCGAACCGTAACCAACAATCTAACTAAGCTAACTATGCGGTGATGTAGGGAAATTTTTTTAGAGTTTCTGTAAGTATAGGGGCTTTAGAGGAACAGTCGAGGAGCATGTGCCCTCATAGTACAAAAGCATAATATAATGTACCTGAAGCGGTATATGGACCAAAGACATGGTCTGATAATTCCGGCCCCTACGTTAGCTAAGTTGTTGAGCGGCCCAACACCTCAAACGCCGTTAGTAGGCGGATGCAAATCGTGCACAAGCAGCTGGAAACAGCAGCGACGACGAAGAGCTCCTGCGTCGCTGGCTGCAACTTTCAAGGAGGTTTCGTCCCAGCATGAAACCCCAGGTGACATCGTGAAGGGCTTCTTGGACTTTGGATTAGATTGATTAGGTACGAAAACACGGAAGCTTGGACAGATCCGCTACAAACACGCGTGCAGGGCTGGCTCAAAGATCTCTAGATGGAACTCCACAGGGCTGCAACACCGAGTCCTCGCCATTGTGGAAGTCGCCCGCACTCCAAAACCGCTTTATCTTTGGCCTGGCAATGGTTGGATTGCTTGGGCAGTGCAACTCGAGAAGTCGGTTCGCCAGCCAACCAGAACATGCAACAATACATTCAGGACCCTCCGGCGATAACACTCCGGCGCATGTGATGAAATGCAGGTGGCCTATTACTGGACAAGTCAAACGACTTTTAAATTATATAGTCCTGCAAGCACGACGACGTCAGAAGAGCAAACAGCTCACAAGTCCTACGGTAGCGTAAATGCTTTGTCGGCTTGCGAATTATGGACTCGTTTCCGCCTGTGGCAATGATATCGCCCACTTCATTCCGACCCGCCTGCAAGCTAGGTCAAGCAGCAGATTCTGCTGCTGCGCTGGTCGGCACAATGGCAATGTGACAACTGGTGTCGAGTCTTATCGTCGACTACGACGCAGTCCATCAGTGGTACATGATCAGGGGCTTTGAAGGCTGCTTGAGCAGATAAAAGCATGGAAAATCTGATGGGAAACAGTGGCTAATGCAAGGTGTATAGTAAAACTTGGTGCTCCAGGTGAACAGTTGTTCATTTCAAGGCGGCCGGGAATCCCTGCCAACGCTGTAGTGAGCCAGCACACATCCATGGACTGACATTTTCCTGTCAACGAATGTGAGCACCCGGGAAAGAGACGATCCAGCTCGAGCAAGGACAGCACGCAAGACATGTGCATGTAGCTGCAACTTTTTCAACCTAGAGCACAGACGACGAAAAGCTCCTGTGTTGTGGCTGCAGCTTTCAACCTTGCACAGGCGATGATGAAGTACTCGACCAGGTACAGACAACCAAGCTCGCAAAGCAGAGGTGCGTCTAAAGCTCCGAAGGCAGGCACGCAGTCAGGGGTCCTCGCCATTGTGAATTCTGCCCGCCACTTGTTGCGGTACACCTAACGACATTGCATGCAAAGCATAACAGCATGCGGGAGTCTGCCTGGCACCGCCAGTCGGAATCCTATGAGGGTTCTTTCATACTACGAAGCATGAATCTAAATGCTCTTGCCGTGAACGTGCCAACAAGAGAACCAATCGGTGTTGGTTCACAGGTTCAGGCGGCTTGCGCATTATCCAATGCTAGCTTTGATTCCACAATCCCAACGGCACCTGCTAGAAAGGGCCTCGACTACGGCGAAACCCATCAGCGATCTCTTTCCGCGTCTTCGAAAATCGCTTGTGTGGTTGGAATCTTGCAGTAACTCGAAAGAGACAATGACTGATGGAGAGTGCGATGTTGAGCCAGATGCGGTCTTGCTCCACATGTACAGCATTGCATGTCAAGAACCAGGAAACGTAGCACAGTGGATCTGTGGCCGGTGCCAAAACCTCAAATAAATCATGGATTCAAGATTGCTGTGGCATTCTTGGCATGGCAACACCCCATCTAACAAGCTAAAACATTGCACTGGACTTTCGGAAGTTTCATCCAAGCACCTATGGAACAGATGTGCACAGGGTCAAGTGTGGGCCATGTTTAGCAGGGCGGCCAAAGCCGAACTCGCTGAGAGGTGCATACCTTCACCGTGCAGTCCGGATTCTTCCTGACACGGAAGTAGACTGTTTTGCAGGTGGGGTAGCACGTACGGCTACAAACCACTTGGTCTTCAGCGTTTCCCAAGGAAGGACCTTGTAGTCCCCATGCAAAGGACCATGACGACATCGTTGAGCAGAGTCGCGTCGCCAGTGTGTGCACATGAAGCGCAGGGACAAGCACAAATTTGATCAGCACTTCTTTTTTGCAAATTCAAAGAGTGTGCTTTCGCCGCAAACGTGTCCACGACGTGGACCGACATGCTTGCTTCTTTGATCTGCTTTTGCCTGCAGGGTGCACAAGCAAAGCCTCTCGACGCCTCTCGACCTCCTGACTCCTCGAGCGAGCGCATGTGAGGTCACATGAGGCACGCGGATATTCCATTGAAGCCCCAGCAGCTGCGATGGCACCCACCCTTTGACACTGTGGGCACGCAGCCTGGTCTGAGTGGGGGGAAGGCTTTCTTTCCCAACATCAAGCAAATCTAGCGACAAAAGTCAAGTCCATATTACCCTTGTTGCACATCTTGTTTGCACTCGGAGGTCCAGGTCACCATAAATCTATTGCCATGGCGTGTGCTTGTCACACGCCAGGCTGCCGCAATGAAGCCGTCGCTTCTGATGACGCATTGCGATTTGGAGTGCAGTTGAATTACAGATGCCTGCTCCACAGGCAGCCTGAGGCCGTCGTATAGCATGACCTATACGAGTGGAAGAACGAGGCAAAATGCCTAGACATGCCTGGAACGCAATGGTCAGCCTCCGGCACGCACCATATCATTACTTCCTCTAGCTCTTTCATCGCGGATTCGCCTATTCTTGAAGAGCAAGTCCGCACAGATTCCGACAGCTCGAAAGCGCCACATGGGCTGACATTCTCAGGCTTGAACACTTCACAAATAAGCTGAGACTTCAGCCAGCGAACCCCACCATGTCCGATTGGTATTTAGGATACTGCCGCCGGCGCTGCCTTTCTCAGCCAGCGTCGCTTTTGGCGGTGGTGGCGCCGGTCATGCCACCTGGCAGACTCGAGTCATCTGGAGTCCGCTTGGAAGGTCTATGGACCTGGTAAGTATGGTTAAGAAGTTGATATAAGCATAGTTATCCTAATAATAACCTTAGCTACTGAGTCCCATGATCCTCTAAGCAGGGAACATGAGCCCAAAGCGAGCATGATGGAACAAGTGGCAGATGACCGCAAGCTTCGGTCTGACTCAGGCAAAGCAAACGACTCAGTCCTAACCTGAAAGCGTGCGCACTAGAGGCTGCTTTGGGCAAACCCCTTTGCGGCTACGAACCAAATCAATGCATCGCTCGAGCATCCGTGTGCTTGCTTTTCCAGCTAGGTGTCCGTTTAGCGCAAGCTGCACCCTAAACCCTAAACCCAGTGATTGGGCACCAAAGCTCTAGTGGAAAGTCTCGCTCTCGAGAGTCCTCCTGCCCGCACTGTGCCCGTCTTCCACCTACCCCACAAATTTATAGCATCCAGAACACCACTTCCCCTTTGGGAAGAGCTTCGCTGAGCATGCCACACCCTGGAAAACCACCAGGAGATCTAGCGTTCTAGAAGAGGAACCCAAACGGGTTGAAGCCACCGAACTATGTCACTGACATGTGACATCGAAGTTGAAAATGCGCAAGATGACTATCCTCGAAAGAATGAACGATTCGCGTTCCTCGTCTTGTCTTTCTGATCAGTCTCCCCCTTGCTATCCTTCCTGTTGTCTTTCTTATTCTTGTCTTTCTCCTCAGCCTCCCTCTTGCTGTCCTTCCTCTTCTCTTTCTTCTCCTTCTTGTGCTTCTCCTTAGTCTCCCCCTTGCCATCCTCCCTCTTTTCCTTCCTGGAAGCTGCAGGCCCTGGGCTGTCCAACACCAACTTTAACTGACCTAAAGTGTTGACTCACACCGTGGTGGAGACTTCAACCTTTCAAGACGTGACAGCAACCTGTTTGCGTGCCATGCATAAGTCAAAACTCCCTTGCCACGGCCCCTATGCGTTCCCATGAAGTATCCCTTCTGCAACTCAACTGTGCGAAACATATCCTAAACGACAGCGACGCCAGCACAACGCGGTCGAAAGAAGGCACATGCTTCGGCCTGTACTTGTACGGAATGTAGTGCTTGGTCTTGTTAGACGTCACCGGTGTCGTCGGCGTAGTCGTTGGTGTAGTGGTGGTCGTTGGTGTGGTGGTGGGACAGCACTCCCATTGGACCGCAAACTGTTGAATCTCGTCCAGGCTGGTTCCATTCGAATCAAGGCCGGCGCTCACGATGCAAAACTCTGCGCCCTCCGTCCAGGGTTGGCAAACTCGAGAGTTTGGGTCCGCGCTTGGAGCATTGCAAGTGATTCCAGTTGAATCATAGCAAAATGAGGTTCGATTGCCAATGGTGCTGGCGCACACGTAAGTTGGGCACAAGCCCGCAGGCACGTCAAAGCATGTCTCAAGGGAAGGTCGTGGGGGGTCATATACTCCGGCGGAAACTGTCAATGGAATACCAACGTCTGGTAGTCCGCTTGTGTTCGCGTCTGGGCCGCAGAAAGTAACGTTGGGATCAAAGACCCTCGCAGCAAACCAGCACTGAGGTAGTTGTGCCAGGAATTCATCCCAGCTGCAGAGTTCAGTCGTGCCGCACCTTGTCGTGCTGAAACGAAAGATCTGGTCAGACGGAAAGCCGCCCCTGCATTCTCCAGGTTCTGGAAAAGGCTCCTCTGCGACGAAGCGGCAAGACCCAACCAAAACATGAACGGATCAAGATCTGTCCTGCCGCATCAACCAATCCAAGCTCTTCCGGCTCTTGCTCTCTGCCTCGCGAATGTGAATCAAGTGTGTCGAGGCCTGCTAAGAATTAGCACTCTCATGTAGATGACTTGACTGTTGTGGGCGAGGCCGGACATTTTCGTTTGACATAGATCACGAGGCGCAACAAAAAAAAAACAACAAACATATCGCACCGCATTCTCGCTATACCGACAACAAAACCTTGCAGTGCACCAGGTGGAAACGGGAAACATGTGGGCCACACGGTACTGACCACTACTAGTACTAGGCATGTCTAGCGGTGTCGAATTTTGCAAAGAACCCAGAGTTTCTTGCGCGTGACTTGAGTCCTTTGAACAAGGCCGACGCAAAAACGTCCAACAAACATTCTCGCATTGACGATATGCGAGCAGCCAAGCCTTGCCAAGCTGTCCAAGAAGTGGCAAGGGGGGAGCATATGCAAGGAGAAATGCTATGCATGTCCAGTGTATCAGGCGCTTGACACATCCTTCGCACCACAAGGCTCGCACCAACGGCACGTGCACGCCACTTCGACGCGGTAGTCCCAACGTTCAACACACAAATATGCTGCATTCCAAAGCTTCTCTTGCCTGGCCAGCCAACTGCAAGAGGGCGTTGGTGTCATTGCACTCAGCTCCTGCAGATGACCTGAGCAGAGCATCCATGATACATCCCAGCGCTCCGAATGCGGTTTGTCAAAGGTGTCTGGGCCAGGGGGATGAAGGTGGCTCAATCAGCTTCGAAAGGGTAAATCGGAGCTCTGGGCCGAAGGCTCAAAGCTAAAACAAAAACGGAAATGAGTCGCCGACTGGCAGCGTAGCCCCTGCCAGCAAGCAAGGAAACATCCCAAGACTGCGCGAGACCCCCGGAAGGGCCGGCTTCCTTGCCGAACAGCCACCCGGGCCTCTTCAAAACCAGAGACCTGCGGCCGACGAACTTCACCCTCATCAGAGAAAGGCTCTAGAAACAGTAGACCTTTCAGGCCCGCCCTGTGCGACACAGTCCAACATTCCAAGCGTTCGGTCCCGCCTGCCAAGTCAACAGGCCGAGCCACAGCCCCGGGCCCCGCATTCCCATGTTCAGGGCACATAGCAACTTGAGCCAAAGCAGCTGAGTTTAACATGGTTGCTCAAGATTTGGCCAAGCAGATCAAGCTCAAAGCGGCCAGAATTAACATCATTTGCGTCTTCAGACGCCCAATCGACGTTTCTAAGGGGATCCAAGTGGATGCAGGAAGCAAAACCAAGATCGGCTTGAGAATCAAGCTTGAATGCTCCGACGCAGTGTTCAGTGAGCATTTCTGGTATGCTGTCAGCCATCAACACAACCAGCTGGCAAACGAACCAGTCCAGGATCACAACTCTATCCCACCAAACACCTTAGAAAGTGTGGAAGAATAACAACATGAGCTCAACCGTGACCGCACACCTTGCGCAATAAAGACGTCTGTGGTCGCTCGCACAGCACCAATGCGTTTTCGCCGCAAACATGTCCACGATCCCTGAAGCGAAACCTGGCGAATGTGATGGAGATAGGGTGTAGGAGTTTCGGGTTTGCGGTTTTGTGGTCAGCAACCAAACAAAACGGACACCACAACATGTGCCAACATTGACAGGAAAACAGCAACACAGACACGTTGACGGACGAATAAAATACTGGGCCCAGCCAAACGTGATCTTCCAGGCTAACACTCGTGGGCTAAAACCTTGACCGACGCCACATAAGAACTAAGCCCACCACGCCAGGAGCTGGGGAGGAAGAGCGCCTCAGACGAGTAGGCCTTCTCCGTTTAAGGCTCTAGGAGTTTGGAGCCCAAGGGGGTATCGAGCTTTGAGCTTGGGGTTTGGAATTCAGGGTGGCGATGTACGAGCTTCGGGTGCAATAGCCAAAATGGTCTTGGCCGCGCTACCTTCCTTCGTTGCAGAGCATTTTCTTGCAGATGAGGCGTCAGCTGTGTTGTTTTTGCTCTTGCTGGACTGGGAGGCGCCAAACCCTAAACCCTTGAATTCAGGACCATCACATCGGTCTTACCTTCAGCGGGACGGACCCAGAGGAGACAGTCACACCCTCCCCCTACACCTAAACGCCCTTTCTGTGGGATCTTTATGGAGCCCCTGTAGCCTTATACAACATCTGTTCAACCATTTCTAGAACCTGCAGCAGGTCACCGCTGTCAAGGGCAACAATGGACCCCACCCGGCCACACAAAAAAATGCACGAAAGTCGAAATGAAAAGGCCCTGCTTTGCAAATACCTTCCCCTGGCTTTTTGCTGCGATGCTCGGTTCTTTGATCTTGTCAGAAGCCTGAACTGCTGATGATGACGATCCCGATGTGCACGTGCACTGCACACGCCGTCAGAACACAAGCTCCTTGACCATCTCCAAACCTTCAACTGCCCTACAGTAGAAGCCAGAAAGTTGGAATATCATTATTGTAACCCCTTTGAAGTAAATTATAGGGGATCCTACCCTGAAACCATGCTCCAACTTTCTGGAATTCCCTGTAAACCCTGAACCCTTAAACTGCCCTAAACCCTGAACCCGAAAAGCCGGATCGAGGCTTGGGCCGGTCTCTGAGCATCGAGGACGAGCTGGGGGCCTGAAGCCCAAGAACTGGTTCTTGTTAAGGGACTTAGTTTAAGTTACCATAATAGGGATCTATATTGAATAATAAGGGACTTAACAAGAACCCAGAGAAATGAATTGAGATGGGAGTTTCCGAAAATAGGGGACCCTTACATAGTACCCTAAATAATAGGATCCTCCTTATAAGGACCCCCAGATAAGGTACCCCTAATTTTCGGAAACTCCTAGAAATGAATTGAGATGGACCGTTGAAGGAGCAGAGCAGTGATGGAACAATATATGGCTGTGAGGGGGATGAGCTTCTTCGATACTCTGTAGCCAGACTTCTCCAAATGCACAGGTACAGACAAGTTTTACTTCAGTTTTAGCCAATATGTCATGAACCAGCGCGCCGAGCATGTCGGTTTTCTTCCATCGTCCAACTCGCCGGGTTGTTAAGTCGAGCTGCCCTACGACTACAATGTGCTGAAAGATCCCATCTGCATCCTCCCCTTTCCGGGGGCATGCAGGCAATGACAACCGGTGTGTAGGCTGCGGCAGCAGCAACTCATGACACGTTGGGAATCTGCTGAATCCAAGGTGGGGCCCGACGAGGGCAATCCTTGAAAATCAACGCGTGTCTGTGGGGGGAAACCAACGCCGGGGACACGAGCTTCTGGTCACAATCTGCGAAGCAAGCAAGGTGTTACCATGGAGTTCCATCGCGCCCTGTTGCACCCTTCCTTCTTTAGGCTGACCTGGTGGGGCTCAGGGTGACAGCACTGGATGCAGTCGATCCAGTGGCAGCACCCGGCGGAGGTAAACCCTTGTGGCATCCTGTGGCTATCTCCGACGGTCGTAAAGTGTTGCCTTGACGCACACCTCTTGAGGCTGGCAGCTTGGGGGCGTTGCGCCACGGCCAATAGCAACTTCCATTTCTACTGCTGCAGAGCAGCCGTGTGGCCAGCCAAGACGGAAAGTCTCATGCTTCACGTCAACAGTGGCCTTGTCCAGCGCCATGCTGCGAAGCAGGACTGCTTTGGCCCTGCTCTGCTTAAGCTACCGTGTTTTAGTTCATTTAGTAAATTTATAACTCATGTCTTGCACGAGCTATGTGAGTCTGATGGCCGGGCGGTACAAAACTCAGCTGTGCCGGGGGCCTCGCCGGCCCTGGAGTGTGGCATCGAAAAAAAGCACAACGAAGTTAGTGTCACGCAACCACGTTGCAAACATACGGTTTAGGGATACCTGACGCCATGCTAGGACTCCAAGATCGGGCCCAAAGCAACAAAGCTGCTGGGGACGGACACTTCGAAAACATGCCGTGTGCTGTGGCAAAGCCGACCGTAAGGCAAGCAGCGCAGTGCTTTTTGAAAATCAACGCGTGTCTGTGGGGGGAAACCAAACCCGGGGACACGAGCTTCTGGTCACAATCTGCGACGCAGCGAGGTGTTACCATGGAGTTCCATCGCGCCCTGTTGCGCCCTTCCTTCTTTAGGCTGACCTGGTGGGGCTCAGGGTGACAGCACTGGATGCAGTCGATCCAGTGGCAGCACCCGGCGGAGGTAAACCCTTGTGGCATCCTGTGGCTATCTCCGACGGTCGTAAAGTGTTGCCTTGACGCACACCTCTTGAGGCTGGCAGCTTGGGGGCGTTGCGCCACGTCCCGCTGTACCAAGATGTGTCAGATGCTCATATTTATGTAAATGGGCTGCAATAGCTCGCGTCACTCTGCAAGCTTTCACACTTGCTTGGGGCTTCTGGCACAACTGCGGGAAAGACCCCCCGTATTAGTGTGCAGCTGACCATGTGCCAGTTTTGCGACTTTCGATCCGGCCAATTGCCTGCTCGACGTGCTGCAGAATGCGGCTGCGGAGCTTCGGATTGTACATGACGAGCGGCTTCAACTTCCGCCACGAGCTCACATTAACACCACTGGCATCAGCCCTCCAAAATTTGGAGGCTGTCGCGAGCTTGCAAACTGTCGTAGATGTTTCCGGTGCAGGCCCGTTGCATGACAAGAGTGCGCCGAACGAGGTTGGCGGAGGAAAACACCATCAACTCGGATGGCCAATATCTGGGCAACATAGCCATGAAGCATGTGAAGGCTCGTATCCGGCATGATGACCTGATTGTGGTATGGCAGGCTGAACCAACCTCTGCCAGAAGCTTACACTGCTCCGAGCATGCCTCTTACCTAGACTGGCTCCGGTGACTCTGCCGGCTCTTAGACTTGCTTGCAGTCGCTGCCACGGAAGCTGGCCTTGCACTGCTTCTTAGTTTCGGACAGTGCGTATCATTACAGCAATATCGTGCGGCCTTGGAGTGCGATTTATGCGTGGTGTCAAGCTCACCGGCTCGAGGCCCAGGCAGCCTACGTCAACCTCTACCAGATGCTCATGTTCGTGCCGGCAGCCCTCTCTTT